AGATCAAGCTGAACGCTGGTGGCTCACACCTATAATCCTAGTGACTCAGGAGGCAGAGATCAGGAGGATCGTGGTTTGAAGTCAGCCCAGGCAAATAGTTCCACAAGACACTATCTAGAAAAACCCTTCACAAAACAGAGCTAGTGGATTGGCTCAAGGTGAAGGCCATGAGTTCAAGCCACAGTACCACAAAAAACAACAACAAAACCCAAATATAATGGTTCTAAACAACCTCCATTAGCAAAACAAAGAATGACCTACCATTTCCTTTTGGGTGGGGGGAGAGGCTGCAGTTCAAACTCAAGGCCTCACACTTGGTAGGCAGGCATTGTATCATGTGAGCCACTCTGCCAGCCTTTTGTCTTGGGTATTTTCGAGACAGGGTCTTACAACTTTTTGCCCTGGCTGGCTTCAAACTGTGATCCTCCTGATCTCTGTCCCAAGTAGCTAGGATTACAGGTATGAGCCACCAGTGCCTGGTTCCTACCATTTCTTTTAATTCCTCGATAGAAGAGTATCAGTTCTGTGCTCTTCAAACATATAAGAATTTATCATAGCCAGGTATAGTGGCTTTTCCTTAATACCAGCTGCATGGGAGGCTGAAGTGGGAGGACCACTTGAGCCCAGGAGATAGAGACAACCTGGGCAACATAGTAGTAAGATTCCACCACAAAAACGAAAAGATAGAATTTACCAAATAGCATAACCTCCGTAAACGTTAAATTTATATTAATGGAAACAAAACAGAACTTGCTTCCCAGAACAGATGTACAATACTAGCTACAGAAAATAGGAGATAGTATAACCATATTGGATGTGAGAACCCAGGCAGAGTAAAATTAAAATTAACACCTATCATTCATGTATTTTTAAAATCTCAGAATAATGCTTAGCAACGTCTATTAATGTGTTCTCACCTAGAGGTATAATTTATAGTAGATTCTATCCAGACAGGAGACCTAATAGTCCTTTCCTAACTTAATTTTAATACTGCTACATTCTCAGGCACCCACCCTAATTTCAACCTCAATTAAGATCTAAAATTTTTTTACTAGTAACTGTAACGATGCAAAAACCTGACAGCATTAAAAATGACACCAATTAGAATCAATTTGTTTGTTAATCTATCATAATACATTAAAAACCTCGTATTTTTCAAAACTTTAATTTCAATAAGTATAGGCCAAATCTCATGAAATTTGGCTGCATGAAAAGAATCCAAAACTTTACACCAGATTTTGCTGTAACAAATTTCTTGGTAGGCAGCTTAGGCACACTACATGATCTCATATAGGGATCCTGTTATTTTGTAATAACATTTTATAGGAAAATTCATCTTTGTCCTAAAGAGGTAATCAGACATAAAAGATATACAATGTTTACAATTTACATAACTATTTGTATCTAATTACTTAAAATACTTTATCCAATTAAACAGTTCAAATGTATCTAGTAAAATCTTAAGAATACTAGCAAACGTCTACATAAAGCATAAGTTAAGTCTCCCATTAGTGAGTTCATTAATGAAACCAGTCAAATAGGCTACGTAGAAACAGGAAGATCACAAGTTCAAGACCAACCCGAGCTTCACAGAGACCCTGTATTAAAAGAAGAAAGAAAAAGGATACAACCAACTAATTTGTGTGTTTGCTTTGTTTTGTTTTTTGAGACACTATCTCTCTGTGTAGCCCAGGCTACACACTATATATCCCAGGCTGACTTCAAACTCGTAATACTACTGCCTTATCCTCCTGAGTGCTGAGATATGCCACTATGCCTAGTCAACTAATTTTACACAAGGTTGTACTGGACATTGTGAAAAACAAAAAGATTACATAGACTTAATTGTTAAAAGATTTTATAACTAGTTGAAGAAATGAAGCTAAGAAATGTTAACAACTGGGAAATACTAGCAAGGGTATCACAAGCTGAATGGTACTACTGATAACTATTGTCAACTGTGTTCCTCTGATGAGTTTCAGGCCACCTTAAGAACAAGGAAAAGGCAGAGTAGTCTCATTGTTAATCTACCCCTTTTTATCAGAGGAGGTTATAAGAAAAATATCCAAGGCTAAGAACAAAATTTAAAGTCAGTAGGAGCTGGGTACCAGTGGCTCATGCCTATAATCCTAGCTATTTGGGAGGCTGAGATTGGGAGGTTTTTACAGTTTGAGGCCAGCCCCGGCAATAGTGTGCAAGACTCCATCTCCAAAATGACCAGAGCAAAACGGACTGGAGGTGTGGCTCAAACCATAGAGTACCTGCTTTGCAAGCACAAAGCCCTTAGTTCAAACCCCAGTTCCACCAAAATAAATAAATAAGTAAAATCAATAGAAAAAAAATACATGAGGTAGGAGTTTAAGAAAGCTGAGCCACAGTTCTGTGTTTCTTTAAATGTCTATAAAATATAAGGGAGGCTGAGATGTGACTGGCTCTGTGGTAGAAGGTGGTGGATGAGTTCCATCCCAGCACTACCAAAAAAAGTACATAAATCATAAATGCAACTTCAAAGGATTCACAGTAGACACAGAACATTAGAGATGAAGGGTGGAAGAGACTATTAATGACAGGACAAAAGAGAAATAAGGCAGAAATAAGGCCAAAATATTATTCACTTGCATTCTATGTTTCACTGATGACATATACTTCTGCAAGACACCTAGATTGGCTGAGAGGCCCAACTCCAACTCTATCAATAATCATGAAACATTAAGTAATCCAATTTTTAAAATCACCAAAATAACAATATGTAAACAATTCAGGTATTATTAAATGTAAAAGTTTTGAACTACTTTTAAAAATATTAAATATTAAAAAATAAAATACTGGCCAGACATGGTGGTACATGCCTGTAATCCCAACTCAGGGGGTAGAAACAGAAGGATCAAGGTTGGAGGCCAGTTCAGACAAAAGTTGGCAAAACCTTATCTCAAGAACAAGGCCTATAATCCCAGCTATCCAGGAAGTAGAAGCAAGAGGATTCTCCAAGGCCACCCTAGGCAAAAGTGAGACTACATCTAGAAACAAACTAAAAGCAAAAGAACTAGGAGCATGGTCTAAGTGCAAGCATGCAGAATGCAAAGTGTGAAAACTGGGGTTCCATTTCCAGTGCTGGGAAAAAAAAAAAGAAAAGAAAAAAGAGGTCAAGCAGAAAAGTTAGCAAGACCCCATATCAAACAATAGCCAGGAGTGGTGGTATGTACCTGTGGTCCTGGCTATAAAGAAGGCCATAAGTAGGAAGACCATGGTCCAGCTGGCCCAGGTAAAAAAACAAACCAAAACAAAAAAATCACTCAAGACCCTACACGAAAAATAACTAAAAGAAAGGAGAAGAAAACAGCTGGGTGCCAGTAGCTCATGCCTGTAATCCTAGCTACTCAGAGGCAGAAATTAGGAGGATCATGGTTCAAAGCCAGCCTGGGCAAATAGTCTGAGAAACCTTATCTCAAAAATACCAACATGAAAAAGGGCTGGTGGAGTAGTTCAAGTGACAGAGCATCTTCCTAGCAAACATGAGGCCCCAAGTTCAAACCCCAACACCACAAAAATAAATAAATAAATTTGAATACTAACTGAAATAATATTAAAACTGAGCTAAAAGAAGACCAACAACTCTATACAAAGCAAACACATCTAGAACTGGTACTGACATAGACCTAAAAAGCTATGTTAAATTGTATCATCTTTGCTTATCCACTCATAAACTACAAATAGCAATCATTGCTTTCTGTTACCCAAAACCTAAGTTTTAGGTTTTTAGGAGCCTATCATTTATAACTGTCTTTTACTTTTTTTCTTTTGGGCATACTGGAATGTGAACTCAGGATCTCATGCTAGACAGGCACTCAACCACATGATCCACTTTGTCAGTCCTGTTATATGATGGGTTTATTCAAGATAGGGTCATGGTAACTATTTTGCCTGAGCTGGCATCAAACTATGAGCCTCACTCACTGCCTCCCAAGTAGCTAGAATCACAGGCATGAGCCACCAGCATAACAGTCTTGATAAGGAATTACTGCTTTCTTTAAAGTTACTCAATGGAAGTCTAAGTATATTTTAAATTTCTTAGTATTTTAGCTGGGTGCAGGTTTCTCACATCTATAATTCTAGCTACTTAGGAGGCTGAGATTGGGAAAATTGTGGTTCCAGGCCAGCCTGGGCAATAGTTCTCGAGACCCGCATCTCCAAAATAACCAGAGCAAAATGGACTGAAGATGTGGCTCAAACAAGAGCACCTACTTTGCAAGTCCTGAGTTCAAACCCCAGTCCCATCAAAAAAAAGTATCATTAAATACTAAGTGCATTTTATGTGATGGGAAGATAAAGAGGGAAGACAAGCACAGCTCAAAATTGCTGACATTAAAAAACAACAGAGCCGGGTGCGCCGGTGGCTCACACTTGCAATCCTAGCAACTCAGGAAGCAGAGATCAGGAGGATCATGGTTTGAAGCCAGCCTGGGAAAACAGTTCCGTGAGACCCTAGCTCAAAAAATCCCTTCACAAAAAAGGACTGGTGGAGTGGCTCAAGGTATAGGCCCTGGGTTCCAAAAAAAAAAAAAAAAAAAAGAGCCAGGCATGGGAGTACATGCCTGTAATCCTAGCTACACAGGAGGCAGAGATCAGGAGGATCAAGGTTTGAAGCCAGCCCAGGGAAAATGAAAGTGAGACCCTATCTTGAGAAAACCCAATACCAAAAAGAGCTGACGGAATGGCTCAAGGTGCAGGCCCTAAATTCAAACCCCACTACTGAAAAAAAAAATTGCTTCTCCCTTATTACCTCACCTCAAACAATGGTTATCATTAGTACATGGTTTTAACAACCAATTCCTTTAGAAAGTGACAGTTTATCTATACAAAGACTATCCTTCCTTATGATGGCTGCAAAATATACATGGATATCTCCGAATAACAATAAACACACTTGGAAAGGAATCAAGTTCAAGAGATAGAACAGTTAATATACTGGAACGATCTTGGCCAACATAAAGCGCACTTACCTCTGTTCCAATTCCAGGTTGAACACCAGAGTACACACTGTCTGGTGGAGGACCACCATACTTCCTCTGTCCTGTGGTTACATCCAGAGTATAACCAGTCCTCTCAAGCAAGGCCTAGAGATAATTATACATCTGTTTACACTTCAAAACATAATCACACATACACAAATGAGTGGATTAATCTTTCCCAAAAGGTATTCCAACATCTTAGAATGTGTATTTTATAGTCAGGGTTAAAAAAAAATCAAAATGCAACCCCTGCCCCCCATACATGTGGCCCTGCTTCATTTTACTGCTCCTCTCCATGTTTAATGGAAAATGAAGTAAGCAAATTCAGTTTCTAAGCACACACTTTTTTGTCATAAATGGCAACAGAATAAGTTCAAACCCCAATATCACAAAAAAAGGCAACAGAAAAATGGGGCAAAAAATGAAAATTGTACATAAATTGACCACATGCTACTCATTCATACTTATACTTAGTATCCCTTAGCTTTCACCTTCTATAATTCTATTAGAGCATTTGACTCCCTCATTCTTATACCACACTGATCTCTATCAGTAATTCTTTTGAAATAAAATGTTCTCTTGTCCTTAAGTCCCATTCACGCAGCTTCTTTCACTTATTACCACACACCCATCCTTCCTACTTCCTAATGTACCATAGTACAAGTTCCACAATTTAATCTTTAGTTTGATTCTTTTGTTTGTTTCATACTCCTACTATACCATAAGCTCCATAAGAACTGGACAGTTTCTCACACAGTATAGATACAAAATTTGGCAGCTAACAAATAAATATACTGAGGCTTCAGAGAATAAGCACAAACCTTCCTAATAACATTATGTATTAAGAGAAATAATGGAAAAGATGATAATGCTCTTGCCCTCAAAGAGCTCATGTCACAATTAAGGTAACATTTATACGAAAGCCTACAGAACAAAGACCATGGCAAGCAAAGAAATGCAATCTAACTAGAAAGGGGGAGAAATTTACTCCTTAGGTAATCAGTGTCAAAGCAACAACAGATTTCAGATATCATCAAGTTGAGTGAACAAGGAATTTCACAGAGACACATGGCTTAGGCTCTTTATTCTTCTACCTTTGACTCAAAGCTCTCTGCTTTTAGATACAGAATTATATTTACAGATATTTCTATATTTAAAATACAAATAAATGTGTAAATATACAATAGATACATATTACATCTACAATATACACCTTACTAAGAGCAAACAGCCAGCTTTAGGGAAATAATATAGGCCTATTCAATGAATGTTAATAAGTTATTTTTTTTAAACTATTAACTCAAATAGAATTTTCACATATTGGGGTTATGACATTTTACAGATAAGGAAAAAAAGCATAAAGGAGTTCTACATAAGTTAGTTATATACAATTTATAGTTCCTGTCTAAAACAGTAAAACTACCTGTAGAACATTTCAAATTAAAAGTCTGTAGTGGGAACTAACTCTGTGGTAAAGTACTTTCCTAGCATGTGGGAGGAGTTTGATCCCCAGAACTGGAAAAAAAAAAAAAAAAAGGTTCATCACAGCAACAAGACATCAATATCCATTTAACTAGGAATTAGGTTCACTAGTCTTTCAGGAAGACACATTTACCTTTCAGAGTAGTTTGTCTACGTAATAATAATGCTAATGACTCAGTTATATAGTTCTCCCTAATTTTAGGCACTACTCTAAGTGCTTTATATATGTTAATTCATTTAATCCTAAGGACTCTAGGAGGTAAGCACAACTACCATTTCCCTTTTATAAATAAGCCAAGGAGAAAAGCAGTTATAACAACATCTCTTTACCAAGAGAAAAGAAAGTGCTTGGTAAAAAACAAACAGTTGACTCAGTGGCTCAAGTGGTAGAGCATCTGCCTACCAAGCCAGAAACCCTGAGTTTAACCCCCACAACTGCCTCTCCCCCACAAAGAAAAAGTAAACCAAGGGACCTTACTGTATCTATCCAAGAAGCTACTCTCAGAGGCATCAACAAGGATTGAGAAGAGAATCTGAATTAAAGCTTTTCATCAAATACTTCAACTATCCAAGTCAAGTTTTACCTTGATCTTTGCTTCATCAGGCCCCTTTGTTGACTCTTGTACCTTGCTGCCCTGTTTCTCTCTTTGCCTGTAGGTCTTCATAACTCCACATAAAAATGCACTTTTGTTCTAAAATAGATGAGTAATTCAATAAAAAGAATCACCAGGAATCTTTGAAGAGTCAAATTTAAATACATGATTAAGTTTAAATTTCAGAACACCAAGATTTTAACAAAATCATTTTTTCATCCACTCATTCAACATGTATCTGCTAGATGAACACTATACACCATAGAGTGGGGTAGACAGTATTAAGAGAGAATAGACCTCAGGAAGCTTACCTCTACATTGGGAAAACAGTCTTCCGTTTTTGATACTGAATTGAATCTGGACTACCCTTGCTAGATGGTTGAAACTATTCCTCCCACCTACATCATTTCCCTCCGAGATAACAAAACAGGAACAGATAACCCCAAAATGTTAAAAATCAACTCGAACATGTAAAAATCTAATAATGACAATCATCAAACGGTGGCTTTGATTTTAATTTTTAAAGTAACGTACTGCAGAAAACAGAGTGTGTGTGGAGCACACTACTGCTTTATACTTGTGCTTCTGAAACTGCCACAGAAGATTTCTTATCCCTTTAACTTTACAAAAAGAGAAAAGAGATACAAACAAAAAAAGACCACTTCTCCACAAGGGGAAAAAATACTGGGATAGTAAAATAATTTCAGATAGCTAACTGTTCAAAGGCATTTTTAAGTAATGATCTTACCTGAACATGTGATAAGTCACTTTCCTTGAACTGTTGTAGCACAGACAGAGCTCCTTCTTCATTAAATTCCCTGAGAGCATCAATTGCTCTTTCATCAAGATCGACATAAGCTACCAATCCTAAAAATTAAATTGAAGAGGGGTAACATTATAGCAATAAAAAAGGGTAGGCTAAACTGTCCTATTCAAGTATATGAAGAACTGATATATGCAGTAACAAACTATATATTTCCATTTAATGATATGCATACATGCAGCTATACAGATACTATATAGAAAGGTCGAGTACAAATATAAAATAAGATAAACTGTCAACAACTGTAAACATGAATTTCAATCTACAAAAAAAAAAAAATCCTACAACTCACTTCCAACTCCCCAAACTAATCTTGAAAGTTCAATCTGATACACACACTGGACTCCAGATTAAGTATTCACATAACAATTCTGGTTTATGTTAAAGAGTGGTAAAAACACATTGTATTTCCCAAGGATAAACCTTCAAATTATGGATTGCTATGGTTATTTACTATGTAAGAGGTGGGGAAGAATATGAGAACCAATTTTACTTCTTTCCACTCTTCAAAAAGTGTCAGAGACTTTCCCTCCTTAGCACCAAAGATAAGACTGAAATCATTTATCTGGGCATCTACTTTGCTGCAATCAGAATGTGGAAAGGCGTAATTTTAAACTCTTCTACAGATACAACTGCAGCTTGATTAATCAATTCTGAAAGTCATATTTTAAGGCATCTTTGTTCTTTTGAAGGGAAAATTTAGATTTTAAAGAAGCTGTGACATTCACAACACTGACAATAATGACAATCTTTTTCAAATGGCAGTAAGAAATTCATGGACTTACAAAGAAACTACATAAGAAATATATGCACTGCATCCCACATGTAAATACACATGTAGCATATTTAACTGCACACAGAACAGCTACTATGCTTAAAATAAAACTTCTTAATTCTGTTAAGCTTATGTTGTATTTCTCTCTCCATATATAAGGAATCTATTTCAGAACTGATCCAATGTAAAATGGAAATGTTTGACAGATTAAAACCCCCAAGTCCATATGAACTAACATCAAAAGTGACTCCATTTTGGTAAAGACAAAAGGGATTTTATTCCATACAGTAAATAAATTCCAAATAAATGTAGTATCACTGGCAAAGTTACTTTATAAAAAAAAAAAGTTGCCATTATTTATTTTAGAAGCTCAAATGAGCATGCCTAAGTGGAGTTTCCTTAATTGAATGTTCCACACCACCACCCAAAGCCACAACTCAGGACACTCAACATCCTTTCTGCCAATCCAATCCTACCCCACACCATCAGCCTCTTAGCAGTAACAAAACACTCTACAGGAGAGCATCTCTAAGCAGATCACTGCCAGTTCTCCATGGCCAATGTCAAAGGAAGTTCCTGAGGACTGATTTTCAAATAGGACCATCGCCCAGGAGTCATTTTTTTAAGTCATTTTAGTGTCTAAAATTACCCTCAGCTGCCCAGATTTAAAATATTTTTAAGGTCAAAAAAACAAAAAAAACGCAGCTACTTGTCTACTGTACTTAAGACACATTTCTAAGTGAGACAATTCTCTCTCTCTCTTTCTCTCCGAATCTGGATAGGCACACAAAACACAGAGGAAGAAAAGTTTCCATCTATGGTCCCAAAGGAGGAGGACAGGTTTATTTACGAACAACGCTCCCTAAGGGTAAATATTTCTCTCCCTCTTTAAAAGTTCAAACCACTTACAGCCAACCATATTAAGATGTTCAAATTTGCTTAAGCACTTAACCATGGAACTTCTGGATTCAAAAAAAAAAAAAAAAAAGCAGGAGTTACAAACCAAACACTTGCAAATTATGGAGAGATGTGGATTTCTATTAGAAACTGGACAGGCCACAAACTCTCAAGGAGTCTGACATGCTATCATTTCAGACAATACAGTCTAACTAGTGCTCTTATTACGCCACCTAATCAGACCTAAGCTGACTTAGCAATCACTTTTAAGAAGCTAAAAGTAGAAAAGTAAAAGCAAAATGATGACTGATTTAGATTAAGGAAAAAAATGCAAAATTTGGTATGCTGAAACATACATTTTAGTTGGTAGTAAATCTAAGACGAATTGATGTACCATTCTGAAACAACTAAGACTACATATTCAACACTAAGAAGGCTTCAATAATGAAATAGGAATATCAAAGTCAAACCCAATATGCCCTCAATGAAGGAAAGTAACAAATATTCAGCTCTACACAGATCAGAAACAGTAAGCATTATTTAACCTTAAAAATCTATAAAATTTAAAGTGGTTTGCCCTCACTTTCATAACCAGTCAGAAACAAGAAATGCATATTATACCTGTCTGAAATATTTCATCAAGTCTTTCTGCCACCTTCTGTGGGAGGCCTGCCTCTATCAGTGTCTTGTAGTGTTCTGTGTGAGTTACACTGGAAGTATCCATTGGTTCTTCCTCTTCTTTTAACTGTACCGCATTACCATTCACCTGATTAGCCATTTTATTATGCTGCTGGAAAAAATTCAGGAGCTATATTACATTAAGCCAGAAATAACTAGTTTGTAGGACAATGCATGATTTATCTAAACTAATTTGTACACATGCTGCTAATATCCAATATACTTTATGCCTTTTGTGATGGATCTAACCTGAATTTGCAATAAAAACCCTGTAAAACTATGGGAAATGTACATGGAAGTATTCGATTTTTAAGGAACTTCATGTACACTAAATTAAATAAAGGCTTGAATTTACTGAAGGTAGAATTACTGATTAACAAAAGCAGCTGTTGTGCCTGGTGAGCAGAAAAAACAAACAAACAGACAAATCACCACAAAATCCTAAAAGCCCCTCAGCTCTCAATTCTTATATACAGTTTTTAAAATTTGGTTTAAAAACAGAATGAACACCCACAGATCACTTAATCAATTTTTAAGAACTCTGAAATTTTCCTAGCTCTGCTTCAAATACAACATAGTTATAAAATAAATCCCTGCTGTATCTAGTTCAACATTCTTGCTGGCAGCTTGGGTTTTTCTCCACCTCACTTAAACAATAAAAAAACATAACTTTCACATTAATTTTTGCTCTAAGATTAATTTGCTATTCCCATTTACAGATTTAAAAGAAAAAATGACCAAGTTTAAAAGCTAAACAATTGTTTTAAGCCCACACAAAAATGAGCTATAGTTGAGGTTGCTTCTTTAAAAAAAATCATGAGTATGTATTGAATTTTGATATCAGTAAAATAAATATGCAAAATCATACTGAAGAATGGACAACTAACTTCTTCCTGATAATTTCAACGAACACTACCTAATTAGGATAAACCTCAGTCAGATTTCTCAGATTAACCTATCAAAAATTGTTTTGTATGTTCAGCTTGTATGTAATGCTGAAATGGACCAATTCCCTGGAGAGTAAACAATAAAACCATACAAGGCCAGTCTCCATACTGCCTCAAAAGTCAAGGAATTAAAGTGCATTATGTCTGTGGTAAAATTATAATGTGATGAAGATAATAGCAGAATAAAGACATTGCAACACATACTGAAATAAGACATGAAGGTGGATCTCAAGAAAATGTCTACTATTCTTGAAGAAACTCAAGTCAGCTATAAAGAAAATACAAGTCACCTAAAAAGCACTAAGACAACATAAGATAACCACACTTCCAGATTGCTTATCAAACACTGTGCAAATGCACTAGGTGCAGTTTTCTGGCTTAAAACAACCTTTCACTTGAAAGCCCATGGATATTTAGCTGATGTTAATGAAAGAAGACAAGAGAAGGAGGTGAAGAGAGTAGGAAGAAGCAAGGAAATTGTAGAAAGTGTTACTCTGAAAATGAGATATACAATATAGCATGACTTCTCATGATCACAAAACATTATTAAGATTTGACAGCCCTCTAATGTCTATATAGACGCAGACTGGTTAAATTCTGGTTGGATAAATCTTTCTCAAGGCAAGCTTCAAATTCTGATGAACTAGCGAAAACGGAAACATCGGAAACTAGCACACTTTTGATCAAGAAAATACTATCATATAAGATGAATATATTTACTGATTAATACAACCTGGCTCAATAAAGATGCATCCTATAATTCAAAATGTCTTTATGAACATATAGTTCTATTTTCCCTTGCCCTCCCACCCCCAAATACTATAAGACAGTCAGAACTCATTAAGTTCTCAGTATCGCAAGACCCTCACAACACTGCACCTGTGGATACTATTAGTTACAGGGTGAAAACAGGCAAATTAACAGAAAAGTTCAATGAACATCTGTTAAGGTGATTTTTTAAAAGTATGCGTAAAGCAAAAAGACAAGTTGTGTATTAAGCACAAGATAGAAATACTTGTAACTAACAATTCATTGCAAAGGCTCTGCAAGTTGATATTGAAATTGGTTAATTTTTTCCAAAAGTTCGTAAACTTTTACAAAAAGAAGTAAAACAATTAGATTCCAGAAAATAAAATCTTCAGATCAAGGGGGTGGGGTGGGGGTGGAGGAACCTCTCTCCAAGCCGAATACAAAATGTTCATTTAAGATTTTTATGTCATATGAGACCATTTAAAACATGTCAATTCAACACAATGCCACACAGCCAAACCATATTTCTGGATGCAGCAAATATACTAAGGTGACTGAAATAATCTGACCTAAGACATTTTTGCAAAAAAAGCAGACATTTAAATAAGATTTAAAGAGGCCGCTGGGAGACTGGGGAAGTCAGCAGATACTAGCTCCTCCCTGGCTTTTATTCTGAACATCTCCGTGCAAATTCTTCACGTTATTAAGAGACGGGCTTTGCAAAGAACCAACGAAATGAAAGCTAACGGTTATCTCATGGCTCAGGAGCGTCAAGCCCTCATCCTACGACTGACTCATGAGACATAAATCCTCCAGCCTCTCGAGGATAGCAAAAAATCTCAAACAGGGGGCGTGAAAGGCTTCAGCCCTTCGAGAACCCCCTGGGCTTCCGTTTCTGATTTTTGGCAATACGGTCACTATCGTGTAAGAGAAAAGAATCGCGTTTCCAATTCGGAGCGCCTCTGACAGTCTCGGAATTAACTATGTCGGGCGCCACTGGAAGCCTAAGTGTCACGGCCTCTTTAGTCATTTTTTCCTTCAAATCTAGGCTCGACCCGAAGCATGCAGCATGGGAGAAGTGAGGCAGGCTTCCCACGTACGTCGGCCTTCCTCGGGCTCCGCTCGCACAAAAGTTTCCTCCCGGCTCAGGTAACCCTGGGATGTGCACCCCGCCCTCTGCCCACCCCACCCCCTCGGGTCCGACCCCGTTATCAACACATCCCAGTCGCGGCCAGGACGAAACACACAGGAGCCGGGCAGCCCCGGCGGGGGAGACGCTCAGGGTCCGGGGACGTCTCAGGCTCTGGGCCGCGCTGGACAGGGCCGGGCCGCAAAGAGCGGCGGGAGGAGGCGGGAAAAGCACTGCCGGCCCGGCAGGCCTCGCGGAGGACGCCAGGCGGGCGGGACCGAGGGAGAGACTGGAGGGGCGGGAGAGGATGGGCGAGGGCAAGGAGGGGCCGCGGCAAGGTTAGGCTCACAGCTAGGCGGCCGGACGAGGCCAAAGCTGCCCCCAGCCCATCCCCACCCCCACCCCCGGGCCTCTGAGCGAAAATCAAACTGGGGACAAGGTGCCGAGCCTGGGTCGGACTAAGTCGGGACGGATCGGGGCTCCCGGCCCCTCCCCCCACGGGCCGACGCGAGACTCACCAGGGCAGAGCAGGGGCCGGTGGCCGGGCCCGTGAGAATCAGCGCGAGGCGCTTTGAAAACGACTAGAAATGGCGCGCGCGCCACCCCCTCCCCCCGTCATGGACAGAGACGCGATCCCGGCAGCACGCGGGGTTTCCCGGAACTGCTTCCAGGGACTCCGAGCCGCCGGGCAATCACCTCTCGAAGCGACCTGACAGGCAGCTCAGACGACCAATAGTCGTGAGGCAAAGCGGCGCACTTCGGTCGACTGGAGAACCAATCGGTGCAGTTATCGGCTGAGCCAATGAGAGTACTCAGCGCTACTGGCTGGGGCATCTTCGGGGCGGGGGCAGACACACAAAGGGGTCCGTGGTGGGAGTACCTGGTAGTGGTTGAGGCTGCGGGGCACCAGGCCCTGGGTGGCCGAGGCTCCTCCCTCCTCGTCTACCTCGGATGCGAAGACGAAAACCCAGACCTCGCGCCGCGTGGCCGCCTCCCGAGCCCCGCCCCCTAGGGTCCGCGGCGGCCCGACTCCGCCATGGTGCTCCCCCGAACCGGGACCGTCTCTACCCAGACCTCCTTTTCTCCCGGCCGGCGTTTGCCCCAAGACACGCCCATCTCCACGCGTGCGGGTCCGCTCTCTAGATCATCCTTTTAGCTCTGGTTAGTACACGATTAAAGGTGATATGGCTCGTCGTTTTGCTGGAGAATTTATATGTATATAAAATCGGAAAACGACGTCTTTCCCTCTCTGGCTCCTTTCCACACATCGTTGGGTGGCAGCTCAGACTGCGAGGGAAATGGCTAAATTGGGAATGTCACAAAAAGCAATGTGCAGCACAAGTAAACCCAGGGACCTTTTCCCCACAAGGTTTGGAGCAGATTGATATTTACGAAGTACATAGGGTTCACAGATGCACACAAGAAGCGAAGAGACCCATGCAGGGAACCGGATTCATTCCCCCAAAATGACTAATTCCTGCTATTCCTAAACCTGTTTCTCACCCTCCACTCCTATTGACTTGTCCCCTGACCTCTTCTTAGTCCAAACCTAGCTCATCCCAAAGAAACCCAACTCACTTTTGTAGAATTAGCCCTGTCCTTCCCTCTTAACCCCAACCTCTTAGGGAGTGGAGGAGGTCAAGTGGTCTGCAGGATTTCCAGATGCACTTGAAGATTAAGTTTCTCAAGCTATAAACCAAAATTTAGTCATTGTTAACCTGCTGCTATGGGTTTGTGTGTTCCCCCAAAGCTTGTCTCCAATGTAGCAGTGTTGGGAGGGAGGGCCTATGGGAGATGTTTAGGTCTCTAGGACTCCACCCCCATAAATGGACCAATGCTTTTTATAGAAGGGCTTGAGGCTCTCCGTGAGTTTGATCTCTTTCTGGCTCTTTACCCTTTCACTATGGGACAACACAACAAGAAGGCCCTATCAGATTCTTGCCCCTCAGTTTTGGACTTCCCAGCCTCCAGAATATAGATTCCCAGTTTCAGGTATAATAGAATTTATATAATATAATAATATATAATATAATACACATATAATATATAATTATATAGTAATAGAATTTCTATAATTCTATTATAGAAATACAAAAGAGGCTATAACTGACACCCCCTAAGTGTTCAGTACCAAACTAAGTCTCTGAGGAAGATCCAAGTTTTCAATTATGGGGTGTGAAACTTAGAGAAATACTGGCAATTAGAGCATGTACTTAGCATGCATGAGGCCCTGAGTTCAGTCCCCAGTACAGAAAAGAAAAAGAAATGTAAGGATGAATACAAATTTAGGAACAGAGCCCTTCCTAAAGGGCATAGTAAAAGCGAGGGATCCTGCAGCCTAAACTTTATTGGCTCAAGGGTTCCTGACCTATTTTGTGCAACTTAAAATTCTGGTAAAAAATTTCTGATCTCAGTTTTCAAGAACATTAAATAAAATACATAGCACAAACCCCAGTGCCACCAAAAAGAAATACATAGCACTACAAAAGAAATCGTTTATATTGCAATACAACTAAGAAATACATTTGAAAAACATTTGTGATGTAATCTTTTTTTTTTTTTTTGGCAGTACTGAGGTTTGAACTCACAGCTTTGCACTTGTGAGGCAGATGCTCTATTGCTTGAGTCATGCCTCCAGTCCAATCTTTTTATTAACACATCAAATATCAAGATCTTGCAGCAAGTCTAATAACTCTTAAAATTTTAAAGTGGTGATAGGACTGGAGGTGTAGCTCATGGTAGAAACTTGCTAGGGTGTAACAGGCCCTGAATTGGGACCCCAACACTTAAAAAAAAAAAAGATGAGAAGATACTTCAAGAGTTGCATAATGACTATAATGTAGTATGAAAATTCTGAGTTTCTATTGGAGAGAAAGTGAAAGGAATTGTTAAATCATCTGTAGTTTGTTGACTATGTTCGCAATGCGGCAGAGTTGGACAAGGTATCAGATGGGCAAAGACAAAAAGATGCTATTTTTTTTTCCCATTCTAAGTTAAGGGCCCCTGAATTCCATTCAGACTTCTTTGTAGTCAATTGACCATGGGATTAAAGAACCCTTGTGCTAGATACTGTGATTAAAACAATGCTATCACCCAATATTTTCTGAGATACTATTTCTTAGTAATCTACCATATAGTCCTTATAGGTATATTCCATCTTTCAGACCATCTCTCTCTCTCTCTCTCTCTCTCTCTCTCTCTCTCTCTTTTTTGTGGAACTAGGGTTTGAACTCAGTGCTTCATATATGCAAAGCAGGCACTCTACCACTTGAGTCACATGTCCAGTGACTCATTTTGCTCTGATTATTTTGGAGACGGAGTCTCATGAACTATTTGCCCAGGCTGGCCTCTAATCTTGATCCTCCAAATCTCAGCCTCCCAAGAAGCTACACATCAGTGACTGACCAGACCATATATCTTGATTTTTTTTTTTGTGTGGAAAGTATGGTCTGCAAAATCTAACAAACAAAAAAGACATCCATGAATATTCTCTAAATATTCATTGCATGCCCTCTATATACAAATCATTGTATATAGAGTAGGGTAAATAAAATATAACCCAGGTCCTCTAAGCACTTACATTCTAGCTGACAAAGTAGGACAAGTACAAACATAAAAATGGGCTTAGATGGAGCCCCAGCATTGGGTAAGCACTCTAAGACTTGAGCCATGCCCCCAGTCCATTCCCATTCTTTTAAAACTAGAAATAGTACAGTCAGGCTCTTCCTCAACTCTTCCCTGTCAAAGATCAAATATGTGGTTTGATTTGGAATATCAGTGAATATTATTATTTTGTTTTTTGAACAATTACAGGGCACCACAACACTCAAATTGAAACTTTGACACTTACTACTTACAAACTGAAGTAACAGAATTTTTTAAATTATCAAGTCTTCCTCCAGGTAGAGCACCTGCTTTGCAAGTATGAAGCCCTAAATTCAAACCCCAGTCACACCAAAAAAAAAAAAATCAAATCTTCCTCCAGGATCCTTAAATTAATCTTTGTCTTGCTTGTCCCTCTCATGATGCTAAAAGAGACATTCAGTCTATTCCTCAGACTCCAAACTGATGATGTCAGTTTAGCCTCCAAAATGCCTTCACTTGCCACCACTCACAGTGCTAACCCATCAGAGACACAGTTCAAAGGCAGCTCAGTGACAGCACATGTAAGGGCCTGGGTTTAACCCCCAGCACCACGAACAAGGCACAAAGGTACAGGAAAGGGTAAGGAAGAAAGGAGATGAAGAAGAGAGAGAGAAAAATGAAGAAATATAAAATTAAGAAATACCAACCTTTGCTAAAATTTAGGTGCCAAGAGTCCACCACCCAACTGTACTTAAAAACTTCAGTTCTACCTTGAATTTTCCCATTGTCAAAGAGAACTATTTATTTTCTTCACCTAACTTTAATAATTTTTATCATTTCAAAGCACTTTCCAAAATGGTGATGTACCAGCCAAGACTGACCAGAGGCTATTTGTCTTTCATTTATATCTCTAAGATTATGTTTCTTTTTTTAGTGGCACTGGGGTTTGAGCTCAGGGTCTTGCACTTATTAGGCAGGTGCTCCACTATTTCAATCATGCCCCAGCCCAAGAACATATCTTATACAAATGATACCTATATGGACACGATGATACTCATTAATGTTGATTATGCACAGGTCATGTTATCTCACTTGAACACTCACAACACATGAGGCAAGTATCAAAAGGTGTCTTCTTCCTTTTGCAGATGGAGGAATCTAAGGCTGAAGTCAAAGCTGACATTCAAACTCTGGTGTAATTCCAAACTCCCTTCTCTTAACCATGATGCTACACTACCAGAAGAGATTAATCAAAACCAGGATGTCTAAACCTTCACCTTTTGAAACCTTCCAGTCCAGTCTATACTGGTAATCTGATTTCAAAATTCTTTTTGTCCTCAGTTGTTTTTATGAGTTCTCTTCTGGGGTTCTGTTCAGGGATAATGGAAAAAGCAGAAAAATATTACAAAGTGAGCCCTCCTTTACAACCTTCCACTTCCCCAAATTCAAGAAAGCAAGAATCAACTTTTAAGTCCAGTTATGATTATAGAATACAATTACAGAGTACTGAACATGTGACAGCATTCTTCATTCTGCAGCAGCAGAATTCCCTGGCGACTCACCACCAGGACGTCAGCCCACCCACGCACTGACACTGAATTCCACAGTCACTTTAAAGCTACAGGCACAGGCGGCAGTAGTGGACGAAGTCTACATTCCAGAAATCATGGTCTAGGAGACTGTCTATGTAGTTCCTTTGGATTCATATTATTTTAAGCCTTCCCTATAGGCAGGCAGAAGAGCCATGTGCCACAAATCTTTTATGGAGGTGTTACTATAGGCTTTTAACGAAAATCTTGTAGAGGTCTAAGTAGTAGTATCCATATTCAAATATATAAGCTAAGTATACACTTCCACAAATCAGATTGACAGTCCTGTTCCCCACATCAGCGTGGTGCCTTGGAGTAGTTATAGCATTCAGTATAACTTGCATATGTTTTGGAAATTCAATAAAGCACTAAGAAATGGTTATAAGCAGAGTGTATGCATAACTAAATTCTCTCATTACCTTAAGTTAAAATACCCATTGGAAGAAGGGGAGGGGGCTGTTCTTTCTAATTACTATTAATAACAACCATATAGAGTTTTCCATTGAGTTTCACATGCTGAATCACACTT